TTCTTGAAAAAAACCCCCGGCATGACGGATGGTTGCTTGTTCCCCTTTGTGACGGACATCAGTAGGTGCGCGAGGGAAGGTCTGCAAACGAAGCCCTTCCGTTTTTTCCGGGTGCACCTTTTCTTGCCAATCCCGCATCGTTGTTTCCAACAGGATTTCGGCCTGACTCATTTCTGCGGCGAGTCCAACTAGACCTGTGTCATCCGCAAAACCTATGTCTCCTAGGACTGTTTGTTCGGCCTTTTTGTGTAAATGTTGCCGGCTATGATATCCATGGTGGACCCTACCGTCTATCTTGGTTGTCCAGGGGATCCCTGGGGAGTAACCGGATTGGTTTGCCTGTTGTGCGCGGCGGACGCGGAAGTCTTCCATCACAGCGTGATGATACAGGTTAAAAAGAGGGGGTGATGATGGACATCCCTCGCGCAGGCCCTTATCTACTGAGTAGGGGGTGGAGAAACCTTTATGGATGCGAACCACATATTGTGTGTGTTCATGCAACGCCTTGCAAACCTTAATAAACTCAGCTGGAGCGCCCTTGTGTGCCAGTAATGTCCATAGTGTGTCTCGACTGACGCGCGGGTAGGCTTTCTCTATGTCAAACAGCCGGATTAAGACAACATCCTGTGTATCGTGACTAGCCGCCGCTTCTTCGACTATGCGCCTAGTGACCTGTAAGGCATCATCTACGGATCTGCCGCGTCGAAACCAAATTTGTGTTTCATGAAGCCAAGTTTCGGTCCACGTTTGGAGTCTTTGTGCCACTACCCTAGCTAAAAGTTTGGACCCCACGCTCAGCAATGTGATACCGCGATATGTGTTTTTATCTTGTGGGGAACCTTTCTTTTTCCATGGTGGGATGACGGCGCCCGTGTTCCATGCAGTGGGCCAGTTGGTTGCTTCTTGTCCTGGGGGTGCTTCGGTAGCCGCCTGCCACATGTGTCGGACCAAATTATTGATTTGATTACGTAGTGTGGGACTACCATATTTGTAGAACTCAGCTAGGAAACCATCGGACCCCGCTGCTTTACCGTTTTTCATATGTTTGGCACAGGCAGCTAATTCTTCATCACTCGGGGGGGTGTTTAATGCGGGGCCGGCCGGGTTACCGCGGGAGACATTGTTCCAAACATGTGCGGCTGCGTGTTCGCGGCCGGCTTGCAGTTGTTGAAAATGAAGTTTCCAGGCTTCGCGTTCTGCTTCGGGGTTGGGGACTGTGTGTGTATGTGGGCTGCGTTTTAAGTAGTGGTCCCGGAGGCCTAATATCTTATGGATAGCAAAAACTGACCGAGAATCCCCTTGTTGTTGCGCAGTGATTAGTTCATCCGTAAGAGAATCTAACCAGGTCCATTTCCAACGCAAGCGTGTCTGACGTCGATGGTGTCCAGCTTGTCGGTATGCGTGTTTGGCATCATCATACATGCGTTGGCGTGCTGCATCTCGTGGTAACATGTCATGGTCAAAAGTTCGCAGGTATGCGTGTGCATCATGAACAGCTATGTCCAATTGTGCGTTCTCAATTTCATGGCCGACGAGATGGGGACGCTTACTGATTTTGTGTTGGAGACCTAGGACGGCTGTGGATGTGCGCAGACAGAGGGAGGAGAGAGTGTCCCAGCTCAGTTGTTGCTGATGTGCACCGGCAGCTTGGAGGGCTTGGTCCAATTGTCGATGCCAGTGTTGTTGAAGGATGTGGCTTTGTTCGCCGGGGAGAGCCAGGCGGTTAACCTGTGGACGTGGGGCCGTCACCGGATCAGTCGGACGAGGGGCGAACCGGGGCCAGTAGTGGAACTTGATTTCCACCGGGAGGTGGTCCGTGAAGTCGTCCCAATACAGCCGATCAGATGGAGCAACATGCTGAGGATCGACCCGGCGAAGAGGAGCGCCAGCGTTGCCTCGGCGGCCTTCATGCACAGTTTTGACGTTGTCAAAGTAGCAGAGCTGATGCGCTGGTGTTAGGACATGATCGAGGATGTGGCCTGTGGAGCGCGCTGGGTGCCACCAGGTGCATCGCTTGGCATGTGGTTGGGAGAACTTGGTGTCCACCAGTGTCATGTCCTCGCGAGTACACCATTCAAGCAGACGGTGGCCACTAGGACTGGTACGGGTGCTGCCCCAGGGGCCCAGGATTGAAGGATGTTGGCCGTGAAGAGCATGATGTATCTCAGCATTGAAATCCCCTCCGATGATGGTCAGGTCGCCGGCTGGGATCTTACTACGAACTTCGGAGAGCTGAGTGAGGAACGCGTTCCTTTCTGCTGCGGGGGCGCTACTGACAGGGGCATAAGCTACGACCAGCGCGAGGCCTACACGGTGTCCTTGTCTGGGAATGTGGAGGGCAAAAACTCGTTCAGATTGGGCTCGAGGGCGAATTCGGTGACAGCCGCCGGCCTGCCACGAAGCCAGCATAGAAGGGTCAAGGGCGATAGCCACTTTGCCTGCAAGTTCAAGATGCCAAGGTATGGCGTCGACTTCGATCTGAAGGCTGACATCAGAAGAGAACGTCACATCAGTGAAAAGGCAAGCGTTCCATTGACGACGGGCAGCCAGTCGCAGAAGGCAGCAGGTTTTGGAGTACGGATCATACGGCACGTTGTTACTTCCCCAGCGGCGAACGTTCCATAAGCCAAGCTTCCATTGACTACGTTGGCGTCCGTGTGTACCAGACTTGAGGTGAAGCCAATTTTTGAGTCGTCGATAGATGGCCAACTTACGGGCCCTACGTTTACGACGAAGTTTGCGTTTACTGATTCCCCGGACCATCAGGTCGGCCAGATATGAGGGCATGTAGCTAAAAGCCAAAGGTACGGTATGTGAACAGATGCCATGTGGAGACACAGGGGTGTGTAGTCAGCAAAACCCTCAAATACGACATTAAGCAACGTATCTTTACCCGGCAGTCCACCCAAAAAACTGCCCGGAGCGACCTCCACGTATCGGCGAGGCAGTGACAACCACCGAAGTGGAGGCCACCAACACCTCGAGATACAGCCTGGAACCTCACCTTGCAACCTCTAAGGCGAAGCACCTGGAGTATGGGGGCCGCGAAGTGTGTGTGTGTGTGTGTGGCTCTACGTCGCTCGCAGCTTTAAAACTCCAAGTACATGACATGCGGAAACTTCGGATCAAAGTGAAGGATGTCCCTTGGCAATGTGTATGCACCGCCATGAGAGCGAACACCCAAAGGGTATGTAGTTGGTCAGGACTGGACTGTTCTAGCGTCACTGTGCAGGAAGCAGCGCGTCAGCGCCCTTTTTTCTGTAGTTCTGCTGGAGTTCGAGTTTCTACACTAATGCAGTCGAGTCCCTAAGCCTGAGCACCACGGCAAGGTGCGCCACTCGCCCAGGAGCCCCGTCGGAAATGTCACCTTCTTCGGGGGATTCAGCCCATGCGTCGGCATGAAACACGACGTATTTGTACCATTCAGAATAATCTTTCCGCGCTAACAGCGGTTTCACGAACGGCAAATGGTAAGTTTTGCCGACTCGACGATAGGTATGTGATGCCAAGTGACTTGCAATTAGGTCACACGTTAGGGCATACTTCTTGTCCGATTGTTCAAATTGGTGCTTCTGGCCTCCTCTCGCTCCGCGCGTACGCTTGGGTTGAGGATCGACGGCCGCCGAAGCAGTTTGTGATGCCTCCGCGCTAGGCGCGGTTTCGTCGTCAGCCTCGTCCCCTTCCTGCTGCTCTTCTTTGGGAGTGGGTCCCGCCTGATCGTCAAGGTCGTCGTCAGGCTCTTCGCCTCCAAAGTCAACCTCCGCTTCGTCAAAGACCGGGTCAGTGGCCAATGACTCAAACTGCGTTGGATGATTGTGAGTATGCAGTGGGGGTAGGCCCACGGGAGAGGTTGAGGGATCGGCATACACGTCCTCCTCTACTTCCTCCTTAGTGGTGGGCTCTATCTTAGGTGGGCCTAACAACGAAAAGGCATCGAAGGGCGGTTCCTCGGCGTTATGTGGGCCTAACGAATCGTCCTGAGCTGACGAGACCTCTCCGCGCGAAGCAGCGGTTCCGGTCTGGAGCTCTGCTTCGATAAGAGGGGTTTCGTCGTTAAGAGAACCAAGGGTGTTGGTCTCAGGCGGCAATTCAATGGTGGTCGGCTCTGCGACAGGCTCTTCTTGCTGAAGATCGTCAACCTCCTCCGCCCCTGCGGTTTCTGAACCTAGAGGCGTGAATGTAGGCTGGGATGACGAAATGCCTGAGGCGACACGGGGAGTAAGGGGTGGCTGCACGGCCTCCCCGAACTCTTGGTCCGTGGTCTCCGCGCTAAGCGCGGTTCCGACCACACCCTCAGGGGAAGCGGGTGCTTCTTGATCCTGAGGGTCCCCAGCAGGCGCCGTGGCTGGTGCTGCAGCCGATGATGATGCAGCGGCGCCTGTTGCTTGCGGCTGGGGATTGACTCGACCCATTGGTGGTCTATGGAGGTACGAAAAAACGTGCTGCAAGGGTCCACTCAATGGGGTCGAGTGATGATGCCTGTAGCTCACGGCTACGGCTGATAACCAATTGAGTGTACAATCCAGGTGGGACGTAGGGGAACGCCCAGCTTATCCTATCCACCGGGAGGTGGTAAAAGAAGTAAGCGAAATCCCTAGATGCACGGTCTATATTAATGGGGACACGGGGCGAGTCGGACGGACGAGACCCCGTGGTTGCAACGAGCCGAACGAACGACGTGTGGCAGCGTGCGAACGAACGGACGAAGGACGGCAGGTGCGAGAGCAAAGCGAAAGGTGCGGCCACACACAGTGTAGCCCACACGGCACCCTGAAGGAAAACTGCGCGGGCGCACAATTTTCCTTGAGCCTTGAGCCAAAGTGAGTCACGGACGGAACATGTGTTTACATGTCCGGTGTGAACCGTAACTCCAGAAATGGACATGTAATGAATGCTGTTACATACTAGGGGTTCACAGAAAATGACTACCATGCGTTGCTCTTCAGTGGAAGCGTTCGCATCGGGTCACCCAAACGATTGGCAAAGCTGGGGAGCCCAACATGCTGCAGGCGTTCAGGTAAGACCTGGCCTCAGTCCGGAAGGTAAAGGATCAGCTCCACAAACTCCTCCCAAAAAAGAAAGGTGTAGAACTTCGGCTCAGAAAAGGACCAAAATCATGCGCTCAAACAGATCGCAGGACACGCCACTGTGAGGCTCTCATATGACTCGTCTGACTGAGACTATTCCACGACTTCACTCAAGAGCTTGCTCATTCACGTCGTCCCTTAGCTGCCAAACGCTGTAGATCTGCCAAAGGCCCCTGGCATACCAGCAGACTTACCGAAAATGCCCTCTCTTTGGGGGAATACTGCCACCTCAACCCGGCCGCACTAGAGCGGCCATCCGGCATCATGCTACATACGAAGCATGTCCCTTTTCGCCAAGAGATTGTTGCAGCATTCAACATGTGAATTTCAGGAGCTTTCACTCTCTCCCCCCCTCCGTCCCTCCCTCCCTCCCCACAGCCTGCTCAGGCGGGCAATGATGTCTGCAACTGCCTTCTCCTGGCCGCTTGGTTGGAGGTATCAACAACACAACAAGTCAAAAGCAAGTACAAGTATCAAGGTGTTTGAACCGAAGAACCGTTCATTCCCAAGTGTGTGAACAAGCCCCGAAAACAAGGTGACCCTAGTCAGTCTAGAGTCTAGATGCCTTGAGGTGGACTCAAAGAGTAGAAGGCTTTGTCTACAAACAGCTTCCAGAAATAGAAGCCATAATATATATATATATATTATATAAATGTAAGCTAAAGCAACCAGGGCCTCAACGCGCAAGCAGCCAGCCTGCAGGCTTTGGGCCAGAGCCCACAGCAGAAGAGAAGCATGCGGTAGGTCACTCTCCAAAGCATTCCAAAACTATGACCTAAAATCAATTCAAGACACCCATCTTCTCGACCACATTCCCACATCTCGGTGTCTCATCTCGTCTTTCTCCTCCAGCCACATTGGTCTCGCTCCATCTCTGAGAGATGGAACTCGGATAGGGCTCTTGGTCGCTCGGACCACGGGCCCCGGGCCACGCTCGCTCGGCCTATCCGGCAGCAAGGCGACACAAGGCAACACGTGCCCCGGGCAGCGTGCTTTTTCGCAGCGTCCGTCCGCCGCGTCTTGGGCATTCGTCTTTGGGCTCTTTTTTAAGGGTGGAAAAAGGGCAAAATGATGCAAAATGCATGTTGTTGTTCAGGAGAAGTGCACCCCCAGTGTACATAGCCCCCGTCTCTGTTGATGTTTTGCTTGTGATGGTGCTCAGCCTCAGGCCGCATCAGGTTCCCAGAAAAACTGGAAGTGATACTGCAGAGACGTGGAGGAATCATCGAACCCCATTGTATCTGTCTCTATCCCAAAAGCACCGATCTTCGGTTATCGAAGTTGGTGTCGTCGATCTCTGATAAAAGGTTTGATGAAAAAAGTTGCAGCGTAGGGGCTGCAGTTACATTCCTCTTTGGTCTTCCAAGTTCTCACATTGGTAACCAGGAGACCTTCATCCTTCTTCATTCAATGTCACTCGTGATCCACTCGAACTGCTTGGATTTCTCGTGCAGCGGTCGGAACCGCACAATCAAAAGTTCGGCCAAGGGCGGGTGCATCTCACTTACCAAGGATCCAGTGGGTTGGGTCAAAAACGCGGCCAACTTGGTGCTTCACCATCCTTGGTCTTAAATCAATTTATCAGTCAACAGAACATTGAAATAACAACCAGGTGCTTGAATTTCACCGGTGAATTTCCCCACGCCAAGTGAGACATCTCCTTTTTGACCCATCACCAATGAACCCTAACACCACGGCCACCTGTGGCCCTATCAGGCGGCTTCGCCAAGCAAACAGCTGAAGGATGCGCGCGCCCCATGTTCTGCCCGGCTTCGCCGCCAATTTCACGCGGGCAACCCGCTCAAACCTGGCGGCCAAATGGCCGCGGCCAGTACGCTACGAAGGCTCTAGACTCAAAGAGTGACGAGATGGCGCCAACGCCTATTTTTTTTCAAATTGCAAAGTTGCTTTTCAACTGAAGTCCTTCCAACATCGGCGAATCTCAATTCAGAGATTCGAGCGTTCACCGGACAGCACGGGGTTTGCAACCTAACCTGTTGGAATGATCACCACAGGTCGCTACGCAGCTTCACGAGTGAAGCGACAGCAACGAATTGTTCGACACCGGCCTTCTCACATCAACAGGCAATTGGAGTGGCCACCTGAGCAACTCCAGACTCAGTGTCACAAACCTTCCATAAACATGCCAATATGCAGCTTTTAGCCTTATAGCTCAATTCAGTAGGGGAGTGGAGCAGGCCTGCAGAGCTCCCCTTAACAAAACTCCCTGCAGTGTCGTGAGGATATCACTGGAGACGTCCAGTGACGTACCTGCCTGGCTGTGATGTTTTCAAGCTGTGACGACCTTCTTCCAGTAAAGCGCTAATGCGCCTTTGTTCAAACATTCTGTTCTGCTGACCCATCGTTTCTTGCCGTTGAATCAGCCAAGGTCATGTATCCGGCACTCAGGAACTGATTGCATGCTCGACCAGTTGAGCTTTATATCTAAGTGTATGTCCGCACAGGAGCAGGCTGACACAAGTCAGAGCCGATACTCAGATCCCAGACTCTTCTACGATTGCCCCCATAGTCGCCGCCTGGAGAAAAACCTGCCAAGGCACAAACGGGTAAAGCCGCTGGTGCACAGTCGTCCACCGAGGTGTTATTCACAAAGACCTGTCCTCGGCTGTGATCAACGAAGCGGCGACGTGTGCGAAGCGGAAGGTAGGACGACACCAAATGTCAGGAGTCGGTATGAAGCCCCTATACACCCAGACGAAAACAATGGGCCGTCTTTCCTTGAATTTGGCAGGTAGCCTGCTGTGCCATCGGCCCAAGGCAAAACAACCAAGTTGGAAGACCTTGAAGCCAAATAATATCAACTACAGTGTTCTTGCCAAAAGTGAGACAAATGACATGAATACGCGATTTCTACGGACTGGGCGTATTTGGGGGGGGAATTCACCTGCCGCTTCCTGAAAAAGCCAAGCCTCTGGTGGTCTCCAAGATCGGTGTGCAGGATGCCAGTCCGTCAGGGGCCTGACCGACGCCCAGGACGGCGGTTTACGTCGGTCAAGTCATGCAGGATGCGAAGAACGACTACATCGACCAATGTGTGCAGGGCATCACACGAAACATGCAGGAGTGAAGCAAACCGGCCAGGGTAGTTCTCCTCCTGTGATCCATGCCCAGTCGACGCAAAAGAGACGCGTTGTCGCCACCCCCCACCTTCAGCTCGGGCTTCGCGTTAAGCAGGCTGGTCAGCCACTTACCATACTCTGGTAGCATCCTCTTCCTTGGTGCGACAGGCTGCCCCAATAAATCCCAATAGTATCGAACCTGCCCATGCAACGCAAGTCATTTGGATTGTCATGAGCCATGCACGAACAAAAATTGAACTCTTCCTTGCCACCTGGCCACACAAGCCCATGGCCAGTATACATGCCATTGTTCATGGGCTCGTAAATAAACTTAACCACGAAGACTTGCTCCTGAAGCAACACGAGCCATGAAGCACCGCTTCATCGCGAGCTTCACGCGTCACCAAGGGAGGGTGGGGGCATAAAAGGATACAAAAGAAAAGACATAAAAGGCTACTGATCCTCCTGGTGGCATTCAGACTGGATCAGTTACACACTCTTCGGGTCCGTTGCAAAAAACCGTCCGCCCGGCTCCTTTCGCACGGCTTGCTGAAGCCGTTGCTGGCTGATACCTTTGCTCTTCGCAAAGTCGAGGGCGGCCAAGTAGTTCCTCCGGACGCCGACGGCTCGGCATCTGCGGCATCTGCACCCCAAGTCCAAAGACTAGAAACTCTCCAAATCGTCAAGTAGTCGCTTTAAGCGAATGAAAAGTCAAAGAACCGTAGATGGCACCAAGTAGTCGCTAGAGGGCACCCGTGCTGCGAGTCTCAAAAGCCCGAAGCTTTGGAGAAACTCTCCTCTTTTCGCCCAAAGTGGGGAGCGAAAGAACGCACCGATACTTAAAAAAATCCAAACGGATCCCGGTATGAAGGCTGCTCCGAGCCACTGCTCTGTGGTGGCATGGTCTGCCATGATGAGAGACGGACTGTAAGAGGCCACCTGAGAAACGGGGTGACATCAAGAGGTGTAGCCAAGGTAGTTTGAAATGGTGGCCGAGAAATGCCAAGAAGGTGTTTGTATAGACTGTGTCGTACTGTGCGCATCATTTTCGGTTCTGAATTCATTCGCGTTCCGATGTCCGAGAGTTGTTCCAAAGAAATTCAGGACGTCCTGTTCCACGATCATGTTTCAAGAGTTGGCTTGGCAGCTTAAAGAATGTGCAAAATCCAGCTGAACAGCCACAGCTGCCCTTGCTGTCCCAGCAAGTCCACTTTGCGTGTCAGTCAAAACCTGGTACACCTACAAGTCGCGCCACTAGAGGTATGTGAGAGCAAAGCCAATTCATCCTTGGTTCGATAGCTTTTGATCTTGACCTATCTTCACTTTTTAGGTTTCAGTTGGGGGGAGTTCATCCATCCTTGTCCCGGCACGGATCTTACATCATACACTTACATCGCACGGCGGTTTGGGTTGCCACCGACCTCCTGTGCCTGCGCCCCCACGCTGCCCCATAAGATGCCCTGACCCACACCCATCCAAAGCCACTGGCATGTACTCCTCGGGGTTGAAGGAGTTTTCGACCTCACAACTTCGGATCATCAAGATTCACTGGCTTTCCCTCTTCATCTGACGCAGAGATGTAGGTCATAGATACACGTGTGGGTACATCATAGTACATGTATTATACATGCATGCGCATATTGCAAAGGGTACTTGAAAAATCCTGAACTGTGCATGGCTACCGTACTGGACCTGCCCGTGCACCGCACAACTTCGCAATGGCCTCAAATGGCCTCGTTTTCGCTTTAGTCAAGGCACATCTTGCTTTTCGTATCTCTTCGAGAAGTTCCTCGGAAGACGATAGCAGATCAGCCCTCATCAGCCCTCATCACCACCTCCCAAGGCCAGGAACACAAACGCATAGTTGGTGGTTGTCTTGCCTCCTGCTGGAGGAACGATGGCTTGAGGGACAAAGCCCAAAAACGCGGACACCGTGACACATCATCATGATTGCTCCGACACGTTTGCTGCTTCTTTTTGTCCCTCCTCCAACCCAAATGGTGAACATTCCTTTGGAGCCTAAAGGACCACAAACATCCACGTACATCTACCCGTCTCCCCCGAAAGCCGAGCAGTGCACCGAGCCACAGAAACTCAAAGACAGTCAGCGGGTCCGAAATCTGCTGCGGATCCCCCTTGGGCGACTTGGCGCAATTATAACCTCAGGTCCCAGAAAAGGGAACAACAAAACACACAGGGGCTTGATGAACATGCTGCTGGACTGGAACCCAGTTTGTGAAGGGTGGCTTGGATGCGATGCTATTACTACAGCCCAACAATGGTGGTTGTTTTTTTGTAATTTCGTGAATTCAGGTGGCAAGGTAGTGTCACCCAATACACCTGACCTTGACATTCATACGGCATGATCCTCGGGTCGGAAGACATAAAATACCGGTCAACCTTTGTCAACCAAATCTCGATCGGGACCATCGCTTTCCTCAGAGGCAGATTCCAACAACCCAAACTTTCGTTTAAAACATGACGATAATCTTTGACCTATCTATCCCCCATGTGCATGCAGTCGTCTGTTTGGCCCACAAAAACACCGCCGTCATGGGATCCTTGTCGCAGCTGAGATGCAGTTGTAAACGCCAAGCATAGGAGACACTTCTGACA